GTCTAATAGAGCATCTTAACATAATTAATTAGTTAATTTATCAGTCTGAGCATAGTCCTTAGTAATTGTTTATATTATATTTCAGTTTGATCAGGCATCAGTCGCCAGCACTACCTTTCATTTTCATGGATCAGGTGGGGACTCAGACTAGGTATTACATTGATTATAATTGCTCTACCATGTTTGAGGTATGTATTATCAGTATCCGCTCAGAATGGTCGCCGGTCTATTCTGGGTTCTAGTGGCCTTAGTCTGCCCACTAGAGTGTGCACATGGTGTCCGACATTTTTATGCTAGCAGATGTTCAGTTATCAGTCAGGTGATTTATATCACGAGATCAGTATCAGATTATTCAGTACCGGTATCAGTTATCAGTTCAGTTTCAGTTCAGTTATATATACCAGGATCATGATATTGTTATTATATTCACTGTTTTACTTTAGTATGAGTTTCTGCAGAGCACAGTGTTTTGGTGCTCACGCCCCCACGTATTTCATGTTTTTCAGGTCACAGAGTCGGGGACGAGGAGTGAGCCGACGAGCTGTTCAGGATATTTGTTGATATGTATATATATGTTTTGGCTACACTACTATTCCGCTATAGTTTCAGTACTTTAACTCAGCTTTTGATCTGACACTAGTCGGTTAATATATTTATAACCGTTTTTATTATCAGATTAAAAATTAACGGTTTTCAGAAAAAAAATCAGATTTTACGGTAACACTCCGAATCAGTTTTCGCAAAAAGAAATATTTTATTTATTTTATTTAGAAAATTTGCAAAAAAGCGTACTCTGATTTCAGTAAATAGCGGGGTGTTACAATTGGTATCAGAGCACGTTTCTGCGTCTCTGAAAAGTTTTATAAGTCAGAAATTTTCAGAAAAAACCTGAACCGTCACGCTCACGCCTCGCCGACTACAGGTAAGTGCTGATTTATGTTTTCAGTTATATACATATTACTTTGTCTATGCTCAGAAATTATTAATCATGACTTAGTTAAGATGTTCGAATCAGAATCAGACCTTAGAGTTCAGTGTACTCAGATATAACTCTAGACTTCTTCAGGATTGATATCAGTATTTACCAGCCATTTTTGGCAACTCGTCAAGAGATCTGTGTACTTTAGAAATCAGTCAGAATATATTTTTTCATGTGTTCAATAATTTTGAACTTTCTCAATGATCAGATGTCGCCCCGTAGGGAACCCGATCACCCGGTTCTTCCCCAGGCCACTATAGTCGCACAGTTTCACGACTATCATGCTGAGAAATTCTTCGGGCAGGGAGACCCCCGTTTCGTGGACGAGTGGATTCAGGGCCTTGAGTTGATCTTCGAGGTCATGGATTGTCCAGACAGATATCGTGTTATCTGCGCTCAGCTTCAGTTAACCGGCGATGCCCGGCTCTGGTGGAATGCTTACTGGAGCATGCGTCCCGACGAGAAGGAGGGATGTACATGGGATAGGCTCAAGGAGCTGATCCGCGAGAAGTACTACCCCACCTATTACAGAGCAGAGATGTAGCGGCAGTTTCTGTCG